TGAGCACATACAAGCCCATGAGTCATGATTAAAGGAACTGTCTTTTTTTTTTTTTTTTTTGGTAAGATTTTATTTCTTTGAGAGAGAGAGAGCCAGCATGAGCAGGAGGGAGGAGCAGGTTCCCTGCTGAGCAGAGAACCCAATGTGGGACTCGATCCCAGGTCCCTGGGATCACGACCTGAGCCGAAGGCAGACACTCAACCAACTGAGCCACCCAGGTGCCCCTTTTAAGTAAACTCTACATTCATTGTGGGGCTTGAGGTTCTAACCGTAAGATCGAGTCTCATGCTGTACCAACTGAACCACCCAGTCATCTTGAAAGCTTCAATAACTATGAACAAATTTCTCATTGCCAGCCCTCAAAAGTGCCCAACTGGTTTCCACTTCCCACATCACATTTGTGGTCTTTAAAAAGAATAATTTTCAGAATATATTCAAAATGGCAGACAAGATGAACATCTGCATTAAAGATGAACACCTGAATCCTCACAGCCACCATCAGAGAGTGGTGCTCAGCATGCACATGTTCACAGCTTCCTTACCCGTTCTTGATTCAGTTTCACTGTATGTGGCTAATGATGGAACTGTTACCCTTTGCCTTGGCAACATACCCATTTACTAACAGGAGAAATGAAACCCAAGGTTTCTTTTAAATTTTCTATCTGCCAGGTCTTTTACACAAATTAAGGAAATATTTTTTTAGAACAATAGATATCAGGGCACCTGGGTTGCTCAGTCAGTTGAGCATCTGACTTTGGCTCAAATCATAATCTTGGGGTCCTGGGTTGGAGCCCCTCGTTGGGCTCTACATTCAGCAGGGAGTTTGCTTCACCCCTCTCTCTGCCCCTCCCCCTGCTCATGGTCATGGTCATGCTCATGCTCTGCTCTTGCTCTCTAATAAGTAAATAAAGTATTTAAAAATAAATAAAAGCAATTGATATTAATAGCCTACAGATTATAATAGGAAAATGTTTCATGATAGAAGATACTCATGGAAATGTATTAGTTTTTTATTTATTTTTAAGATTTTATATATTTATTTGACAGAGAGAGAGAGAGAGAGACCATAAGCAGAGGGAGCAGCAGGCAGAGAGAGAAGCAGGCTCTCCGCTGAGCAGGGAGCCAAATATGGGCTCAATCTCAGAACCCTGGGATCATGACCTTAGCAGAAGGCAGATGCTTAATCAACTGAGCCATCCAGGCACCCCAAAAGTTTATTTTTTTAAATATGAGTCAAAGATTCTGATGCCATTAATGTTCTTCATTAAAATATTATTTCCACTCTAAAATTTATACTATAGTCTTCTAGTAACTTCCTGAATTTTGTGCATATTGGAATTTCCCATATTGGAATTTATAACAGGTTAAAGAAAATAAGGATTACTCTGTGGAAAACCTAATTGTAGATATGAATACAATAAAATATTAGTGCTTTAAGGCTATAATGTATAAATCAAATAAAAATGCAAATTTAAATCTCAAGATTTTTTAAAAATTATTTATTCATGAGAGACAGAGAGAGAGAGAGAGAGAGAGAGAGAGAGAGAGGCAGAGATACAGGCAGAGGGAGAAGCAGGCTCCATGTTGGGAGGCTGATGTGGGACTCGATTCCAGGACTCCAGGATCACGTCCTGGGCTGAAGGCAACGCTAAACAGCTGAGCCACCCAGGGATCCCTCAAGAATTTTTTGAATCCTTATTGCAGATTTCCAGCAGAAGTAACCTCATAATTCAGTTATCTGTTATTTACAATCCACTTCTGCATTTCTGTGATTTCACCTTTTCCCCCCTCTAATTAGTTTCTGTTGATAAATAAAAAACAAAAAAATAAGCATTTTCAAAACTGAACCAAAATACTAAAAAGTAGCAGATTACAGAACAGCCAAATAACACAAAAGTATTCACAGTATTTTATTTCTATGCCACAATTTGATGGCCAGAAGCTGCCCTTAGCAGTTAATCTGAGGGCTTGTTCACAATTTAGGAGGTCAGCTAGGCAGCTTCCCCAGGAAATGCTAAGAACAAGACCGGACTGGCACCCTGTTGGGAGTGCACCTCTAAATACATCTGTTCTGTGTTTGGGGGCACAATCCCAGAGTCTGCATACTTCCTCACCCTGTAATTAACTATTACTATTGCAATAGTATTGTCATGTCCAAAGAGATCCTTTTAATGAATTTATGTTTATCTTATTTTCAAAGAGGTTGTTTTACTGAACCATTAGATTATGAATGTATTCAAAAAATAGTTTTTCTTTCAAAAAATATGCTTTAGTTTTTATTTACAGGGAAATGTACACAGCTAATTAGTACAATACCTAGAATATATAATGATATCTAAGTGACTTTTTAAAAGATAACAAGTCATCAAAAGAGTTTGAAAGCCTAAATAATTATTGCTAACAGTTGTTGAGCACTCATTATATAATGTAATATACTAAGTGCTTTTATGATTCATTCATTCATGCAACATATATCTGTTGTCTCCTGTGTGCATTATTCGAGGGCCTGGAGAACAGCAACGAACAAAACAATATCCCTGCTTTCACGAAGCTTATATTCCAGTAGGAAACAATCAACAATTAAAACATAAAGCATGTTCAATAAAAATAAGTGCCGTAGGGGAAAAAATTAAGCAGCAAAGGGAGATAGATAGATTCTGTGTGTGTATCTCATTGAGATATGTCGGCATAGGAGCAAAGACCTGAAGGAGGTGAGAAAACCCAAAAGTGGATCCCAGAAGATGTTTGTTAAGGAGGATTAAACAATTACTTATTGAGTTATTCTTATGAACCATTTATTTAATCCTCACAGCAACACTTTATGTCAGATACTTTTATTGCTCCTATTTTACAGGTAAGAGAGTTGAGGCTTAAACAATGTGAAGAAACTTGCTTAAGGCCGCACTATTTACAAAGGGCAAGATCAAATCTGAAGCCAGATCAGCCTCCCTCTCAAAGTGTGAGGCTTTTAACCATCTTCCTCCTGTCAAATCATCTGCCTATCTCACAACAAGATTTCTACATGTTCAATATTGGTACTTACTTGGTAAGATAGTCAATTACCACATCACACTTGTAAAAAGAAAAAAAAATCAACTTGAGAGGGAAAAAAGTAAATGAAGTCTGGCTCAAATAAATAATTTGAACAGAATTCCTCTCCAGTCCTCCTGGTTAGGGTTCTAGATAAAGGCAGTGGTCGCTAGGCACAAAAACAAGGATGCCTCAGCTGGCCCTATGGGAGCTGGTATTGAAATAGCTTTCAATGCAGCCCTGATCAGGGCCATGAGTAGAGAGAGGGGGAGAGAAAGAAGGGACAGGAACTGAGTCTGATGTTGGAAGTCTCTATCACCTCCCTGCAGTTCACTGATCTTTTCAACTGAATCTCAGCATCGGGGTTGAATGTTTACATCTGGCTATGTAATTGAACTCTCCACAAGGTATAATCTACCTCAGGACTCGTCCTGCTGGGAGGAATTAAGATCCACCAGCCACATGACTTCACTTGAGCACTACATTCCGCAAGGCCAGCTGTTGTCTGGGCTTGATGCCCTCTTCACTCCTCGGAAGCACACGTACCTGTGTATTAAGTGTGTGTGAGCATAGAGATGTATGCACAGTAGAAGGGGGGAACTGTGTTCTCCAGCCCCTCCAGACCTGAACAATGGAGTGTGGCGGTAATTGAGCGATTTGAAGGAAAGCGAGCATAAACCCAAGCAATCAAAGGAAAATCATCTTACTTAATACCAGGGATGGATGTTTTTCTTTCTGCCTCTCAAGTCCAAAGAGGAAAATCAGGATGAGTGACTTGTAAACTTCAAGGTTAAGGACCCTTTCTGTTTAGCTTAGCTCTCAAGTTCACAGTAGTCAACTGGGCATGAAACATAATTAATACCAAGATAAACAGAAGTTGTGGAAGATGCAACTGAAAGTCAGAAGTCACTTCCATGGGCCTCCTACAAAAAGCCTATCATAAACAAGACTTAACATTAGCAGGGCCATTAAACAGTATCACCTATTAAAAGCGTGCTCTTCTCTAGCGCCTTTTACTGGAGTTTCTCTGCGTGGGTGTCTTCCTAAGGAAGTGGGTGAGCAAGAGTGTACTGGGTACAATTTGTGTATTTACAAGAGAAAACAGAAGCTCTGAATGAGAAAGAACATATGTTTCTGGGACTGCATCTGTGCAAAAAACACATAGCCTCTGGAGTTGTACGAAGAAGGAAAAAAAAAAAACTTAAATCATTTTATTTCACACTCATCATCTTCTTGGCACATTTCCCTCCTACCGCCCTTGCAGCCTGACCTTCCTCACCCTCAGGTCCCGGAGACCATGAAATGTTGAACAGTCTGACAGAGGCTGCCTAACCAGATAGACGGCTCACTCGGGGATCCCACAAGCACATCTCAGCCCAGGATCGGAAAGGAGCCTCCAGGGCGCACCTGCCCAGAGGGCGGCCGCGCTGCAGCGAAGCGGCAATCACATCCTCCGCCAGGGGCTGCGCGGACGCGGAGCCCTGCAACCCGAGCCCGGCACGGCCCCGCCGGGCGGTACCCGAGGGCACTCCGTGGGTTTGCTCGAGCCCGGGCGGACCGCGCCTCTCACCCACCTTCCCGCGGGCGCCTCCAACTCGCCAGGTGTCTGCCCGCGCGGCCCGCCCCGCCCCGCCCCCGCTCCCAGGCGGAGTGCGCGTGCCTGGCCGGAGCCGCCCCCCCGCACCCGGGTTCGGGCCTCGCACCAGGCGTGGGGGCGGGGCCGGGGCGGTGCGGGGGCGGGGCCTGGGCGGTGTGGGGGCGGGGCCATAGCGGAGGGGCGGGGGGTCTGGGCGGAGGGCCTGCGCGGCGTGGGGGCGGGGCCGGACGGGCCGGGCGGGCCGGGGGCGGGGCCATGGCGGAAGGGCGGGGCCTGGGCGGAGGCCCAGCGCGGGGCGGGGGGCGGGGCCGGCGCGGGGCGGGGGCGGGGCCAGGGCGGGGGGCGGGGCTTGCGCCAGTGCCCCGGGCCCCGCTGCAGCTCCGTCCGCAGGTCTCGCGGCAGTCGAGCGGCTTCGTCGCCCCCTGCGGCCCCATGGCAGCCCCCGGCTCCCCGACGGAGTGCGGCTACATCCGGACAGTCCTGGGCCAGCAGATCCTGGGGCAGCTGGACAGCTCCAGCCTGGCGCTGCCCTCCGAGGCCAAGCTGAAGCTGGCGGGGAGCAGCAGCCGCAGCGGCCAGGCGGCCAAGAGCCTGCGGATCCAGGAGCAGGTGCAGCAGACCCTGGCCCGGAAGGGCCGCAGCTTGGTGGGCAACGGTGAGTGGAGCCCCGCCGCCCCCCGCCCCTTTCCCTCCTCATTCTCAGCACCCAGTAGCTTGGACGCACTGCTTCCTGGGGGTGCAGGACCTGGTGTGCTCCACCTGTTGCTCGCGGTCCCTTTGTATGACCTGCCGCGCCTCCTGACTCAGACTTACTTGAGGAAAGCGCTCTTCGAAAATAACCTCCTTCTCAGCTGCTTCTGTATATATATCTACATATATTCAACGTACATATATATATGTGTGTGTGTGTGTGCTTGAGAATTCAATACAAGATTTTCACCCCTTCCTTAATACCCTTCCCCCCACCCCCACTATTGTGGACTTAATCTGGAGGCTCTGGGAGTCTATAAACACTTTGAGATTCTATGCAGAAAATTCATATGATCTTTTTTTTTCTTTTTTGGAGGAAAATGCTCCTAGCTTTTATTCAATTGTTAAGAGTTTATGCCCTCTCTATAAATTTCTTGAAAGAGAATACCTGAAAGTACTGGCCCTCCGTCTTGCAACCTGGAAATTGGGATTGCGGTGCCTCGCCCAGGTATTTCGGGACGCTCCACCCTGTACAGAGCGAGTGGTTGATCTAGGAAGTGGGGGAAAAAAATGAGTGGGTGGCTTTGGGCCCAGGAACAACCACACCGCCCCGCGGAGGAAGGGGACTTTGGCCCTGGCCCGACCGCAGCTGCCTCGCCCGCTTTGCTAAGCCGAGCGAACGTTTTCGCGGGCACAGCCCTGGTCTCTCCAAAAATGTAAACTTGGAAGTGAAAAGGAGTTCTAAAACAACAACAAGAAGAACTCTATATTAGTGATTAATAAGAGGAGGCGGAAGGGAAGATGGTAAACCAGTTGTGAAAATTAGAGAACATGATACGTCATTTGCTCCTCTGCTAAAAGTCAGATAATCAGAGCCACACAGTAACTCTTTTATTAGCTGTTTGTTTTCTTTATTATACAAACATTATAGGCTCATTACAGAAGAGAGAGGAGGAAAGAGATTGAAACATTAAGTTGGGATATCTGTTTATTTCCGGCATTGTTGAGTTGTTTCTGCAGGACATGGGCAATGGCAAATGTAGAACCCGTTAGGGAAAAAATGCTTGCAAACCAGAACAGAGATTTAAAACAGCAGACCCTCGGAGCTATAATGTTTTCAGTTTGTGTGAAAGAACCCTAAAAGATCAGGCGTCCAGTATTTACATACTTGAAAGGTAAAGAGAAGATATTTAACAATTGTGGTTAATGCAGTTCCCTACTGTGTGCCAAGAATTGAACTATGTGGTTTACATTGATTATTATGTTTTTTTAAAACATACTTTTGTCCTAGGGGTGTTTTTTTTTTTTTAAGATTTTACTTATTTATTCCTGAGAGAGGCAGAGAGAGAGAGGCAGAGACACAGGCAGGGGGAGAAGCAGGCCCCACTCAGGGAGAGAATGTGGGACTTGATCCCGGGACTCCAGGATCACGCCCTGGACTGAAGACAGGCGCTGAACTGCTGAGCCACCCAGGGATCCCCTGTCCTAGGGGTTTTAATCCCCATTTTACAGATGAGGAAGCTAAGCAATTAAATAACACTCAAATTCCCACAAAGAGTAAGTAGCAGAATTGGTATTTAAACCACCAAGCCTGGGGACGCCTGGGTGGCTCAGTGGTTGAGCATCTGCCTTCAGCTCAGGGCCTAATCCTAAGGTTCTGGGATCGAGTCCTGCATCAGGCTCCTTACAGGGAGCCTGCTTCTCCCTCTGTCTATGTCTCTGCTTCTCTCTGTGTGTCTCTCACCAATAAGTAAGTAAAATCTTTTCAACAAAAACCACCAAGCCTGAATTTTTAAACCACTCATCAGTTATACTGTTAAGCTTTTTGATTATTAATTCAAAATGGGATTTTTATTAGACCCTAAGGATTCCCTGGTCCCCTCTCATTTTCCTCTAAGTAAAATCGAGGTAGTTTTGAGAGGAGAGAGGTCTAGACATGACTGCACTGCCACAGGACATGGGAAAAAGGAAGCTGAATTTACATTTCAGAGTCTGACAACTGGGGCCAATTTTTGATCAGTGGCATCAGTGGCACGTTGTCAATCTGTGCAGATCCAGTGTTAAACTGAAACTAAACTAGGGTATACTGCTTGAGGGACACAGGGGATGCAATGGCTAGCCAGAAGAGCAACTAGACTGCAGCTATTCAATGAATAGGGGAAATCAACATAAGGAAAGGAGCATTGTTCAGCATTGTCGTGAACCTAACCCTGTTCTAAAATCTTCATCCATCTGCTTTTCATTAAATCCTTACAACACAGGATCCCTGGGTGGCGCAGCGGTTTGGCGCCTGCCTTTGGTCTAGGGAGCGATCCTGGAGACCCGGGATCAAATCCCACGTCGGACTCCTGGTGCATGGAGCCTGCTTCTCCCTCTGCCTGTGTCTCTGCCTCTCTCTCTCTCTCTCTCTCTCTCTCTCTCTCTGACTATCATAAATAAATAAAAATTTAAAAAAATCCTTACAACAATTGCATAAGATAGATATAAAGCTCCATTTCACACATGAAGAATGCATCAGTCTCTCAACATTTATTGGCTGCTTTGTCCCAAACCCACACATGATCTGCCCTCCCTACCCCGTGGTCAATTCATATTGCTTGGCGAATTCAAGAACTATCAAATGAGTCTGTTCTTCATGCAGGGCACTGTGCAGGTGCTGAATTAAACCAAGACTGTGTGCTTGCTTTCAGGCAAGAAGTTTAAAGTCTGAAGAAGGAAACTTCCCTCTAAAAAAAAAAAAAAAAAAGTCTCATCCAATACAAAATAGTAAGCAACCCAAAAGAAGAACAGCTAACACATTACAGAGTTTGGACGTATGAGTTGGACTGCTAGCTGAAGGGAATTTTGAAAAGCTTCTTAGAGGAATTGGGATTTTATATCTCAGAAATTCGGCAGGACTGGCCAGGGGTTGGTGGTTGGAGGAAGAGTATTCTAGGAGAGAGCAGGGGAATATTTCATAGTTCACAGAATTAAGGTGGTAGAAATCATGTCATGGTGCTTCTGCTCTGATGCTTGGGGCAACTACTTGAATGGTTCTGCCTACTAAGGAACAAAGTGTTTGAAATATTTTGATTGCAACAGGAGCTTCCCTACAAGCTGAAATACACTCAGCAGCCTACACAGAAGTACAAGTCAGGCAGAGAGATAAGGCAAATAACAACACCTACTTATTCTAAAGCCCCAGCTTTCTGAGACTTAAAAAGGAAATCGGCTTCAAAGGAATTTAACATTAACATGCCACGGAACAATTATGGAGGGTGGTTTGTGTATGTTAATTAAAGTTCTTTGAAAAGGCCTGGGGGCTTGTGATGGTTGTGAGTATTGTTTATTATTATTATTATTAATTATTACTATTTCCGTATTACTATCCTGTCTCGAAAGTTGAAATAGACAAGCAATTGTTGCAATAGTGCTGGTCTGGAGAGAATCCTGTATCAACACAAGAAAGTCTGGGAAGAAAGGACCCCCGTGTTAACTGCTGTTAGTTCCAGAGCCCTAGAGAATTCTGAATTGTTGACATACCTGCAAGACTGAGGCAGTGGCTAATCTGTTGAAAACACAGATGTGATAAATGAGGCTGATTTATTGATAAATACCCTGCAAGGTCTTAAATGCCTCAGTGTATAGGTGGGTGGTTTTCCTGGTAAATCGTTTTAACCTATGTTGCTGTTTTAAACTGTGCTGAATATTTTAAAGTTCGCTATAACTCTTGGGAGGAGGTGTGTGTGAGGAGGGATGGGTTAGAGGGACGGGGTGGGGGGTTGGTCAGAGGTATGTGGCAGCATTGTGAAACGAGTGAGTGTATTGCAGGGAATTTGAAAAATCATTTTATGAACGTCACAGAGAAGACTTAAGAATTGCAAGTATTAGCAAATGAAAAAGTTTAAAGTGTCCATATCCTATTTATTATACGTACTTTGAAAGTACTACGTACTTATTACAGAGTGCTCCCCAGGTGCTTGAAGAGGAAGAAAGTCCTGTTTTAAATTGTTGTATGTAATCCTCGTAAAACACAGTGAATAGTAACCTAATAAACTTTGCAACTTGGGAAATCCACTATAAGAACTTGAAGCATGTCATTTACTAAGTTTCCCTAGCAAAGATCTGTGATCAGAGGAAATTCTGGAGAAAGGACTGAAAATTGGTTAAGGAAGGTAAAAAGGCAATTAATGGGTGTTATTGGGGAGAGCGGTGTGTGTATAGGGGGGGATTGTTCAAATCCTGTATGAATTATTTGTTTGCCAAAAAGGAATTGCCAGAATGAAGCAATTCTGGGAGTGAGGTGACTAGTCAATCAGAAAGTGGGAGGGATCAGGAGAGGTGGGGAGAAAAGAGTCCCATGATGGGGTGGCAGAGACATACATGCCCAGGCTGCTCTGTAGTATGTCGTAGTGCCGCCTGATTTAATGAACCTCTGTGTCTGCCTAATATAGCCCATGGACCACTTTTTGTTTAGTGTCTAGCAGATCAATTGCAGTGAGTACAAAAAAAAAATGTACGAGGGCTTTTAGTTTAGTTGCTTTGTTTTTTAGAAATTCCTGTGATTATAGTTTATCAGAGGAAATAGGATGTTAGCAAAATACGATTACAAAAAATATATTCCACACCCTTAGAAATGGTGAAAACGTATCCTTTATGGAAAAAAATCTTGAGTCAGAATGTGGTAGGGATCTTTCAGAACCAGTGGAACTACAACAATGTTTGATTTTGACTATGCAAATTCATTGCTCTTTGTGTCACAGATAAAATGCAGGACATTCCCTTCAAGAGAAGACTGTTATTTAGGATTTTTAAAAGGCTCCTTTAAGGTTATCTATGCCCTATGCTAGTGGTTCCAGTCATGGGAACAGAGGGGAGTTCACTTGACTTAGATATTCTAGGTATTTGTTGTTCATGTGGCTCATTCTTCTAAAGTGCTGTTTTGATTATCGGCTTGAAAGCTTTTTTCTCATGTATTAAAATAAG